AAAAAAGCAGATATACTGGACAAGGTACTCGAAGTTTAATTGTTCGCGCACATTCAGAGATGCGCGAGGTTCACGACGCCTCTTCTTGTACTGGGACAAGCTACATATTTCGCGTTGTGTATTGCAAAATGATCTAGAGGCCCCAGAAGCACCTTTGTTTGAATATTCACAACTCTCTTGAGAGCGGGGCATCTGAAAAGGGGAAGGAATTAATGTGAAGCACTATGTTTGTAGTTCATTATTTACTGTTGAAAGCTTTGCAAATTCCTCATTCGCGAGGAACTTTCCCCGTTGTGACTTCGTTGTGGCATTTTAGTGACATCAACGAGTTTCCTTGCTTCGAACAGCCATAACGTTCTTCGCATGTGCTCTTGCGATCTTAGAAATTAAAAAAATCCGGAATCTAGAACAACTTCTGCTTTCCAGAGAGTGTCTCATTTTCTCTTGCGCCCACAACCTGAAAAAATTCACCTTGTGATTTTGCTGCGGCAAATTTCGAACGACGCGAAAAGATCCGCATATCAGGTGCCATTCCCAGTTTGTTTGAAGGATTGAGTACACTTTTGAAACGCATCTTTCCGTCGGAATTATATGGAAACAGTCCGCACGGCATCGGTTGACATTCATTCTGTGCTGAACCATGCATTCGACTGTCACCAAAAGGTGTTGGGAAGGTCCTCCGGTGAGGCTTTTCCGTGAAAGCAGATGTGTCCTCCAGTGCTAGAAGATCCAACCATGTCTGTCTTTAGTTTGTTTATTGGTCACGACGCTTTTATGGGCAGCTAATGTATACTTGCCACCAACCATTCCCCAGTTCTAGCTTGCAGCTTGCCTGTCTTCAGCTGTCCTGTCTCTGTCAACAGTAGGTCGGTTCTGGTAGCTCGGAATGGCTGGCTATGTTGTTTCTGAACGCGAGCGCAAAGTATACCTCCGACAAGCTGTACATAGTTACGATATTGTGTTAGTAAATGTTTTTCTCTGGCTCTGTCTGAATAACAGCCATCCATCGAGCACCCTTCCCCCTCCCAAACATTCTTTGTACGGACTGATTGTTATAAAGTCACTTTGTGGGGTTCGTGAAATTTTGCTTCTTAGACTTTCCTTCACCCTGCTAGACAGTACCATGAAGCACTGTGGAAACGGCGGTAATTGCCTTATCTATAAGCTTATCACGCCCGCAATTTCGGCAAAAACGTGTTTTCATCACAAAAAGCACGCTTTTCTGCTTCAGCAATGGTCTACAAGAACCACAAGGTTGGGGTGGGGAACTAAACCTGCTTTTTAACAAAGGAGCGAAAACGATTTGCTCCTTGAGCCATTCATTCGACCGCACTTTCCTGAAACACTCCTGCTGAAAGATCAGCAGTATAAGTGAAAAGATCATCACATCTCATTGTTCATAAAATTCGTGGTGAAAAGATAAAGATTTCGCCGTTGATCAATCCGCTTTTGGGATGCGACACGCATTATACCTCATTTAATATTCCTTACAGCCTTATTGGAAGCATTATTGCCTTCATAAAGGATCCGAAGAGATCATCTGATGTACAAATTACCAGGGCGAACTCTTTGCTTTCGACACCCTTAATAGTCAGTGGTTCCTTCCTTTTTGATGAATTTTCTCCTTGTGTATTTACCCTATCAGGAGATATTCTCTCCAAATTACCGGTCTCAGAGAGTAGAAGGTTCAATTGACCTTGACGGGGAATTTGGCCATGGACTGCACGGTGATAAGCTGGTCGTCTGCCACATCATCCCTTACGGTTAGAGTTATGGGCTTTGACGGACGGGAATCGTTTCAGAAAGCTGAAACTTTTCAAATCTGTCCAAAAGGGTGAACTGAGTCATGCCTTGTTCACTTATTTATTCCTTTTATGATGCACGTACAGGGGTGTTTTTACAATACTTGAGTTGTAGTAAATCGAATCGAAACGTACAACCTTATCTAACGCTAAAGTAAGGCAACATACAATCGCCAAAACAGGAAGAAAGGTCTCTAGTCAGATTTTCGCCAGAAGAATAAGAAATTAACGAAAAAGCCAGCTTTTGCCAGATGTAGGGGAACTGGGTATCTGCTTATTGAATCGATGAAATTCAACTTCAGTGGACGGATGACGCAAGGGAGAACGTTACTCCTGCACGGCAACTAAGCATGGAAACGTGGAATCGGACACTGAATTCACATTTACTGCGCGTTATATGAGGTCCTCCGAACGTGTTACTGTAGCCGCATCTCAGCCAGTTTGTAAAACAGTAGCTTGTAAAACCTAAGCCCAGATGGAGCTGAAGCCAGCAAGTAAACCCGTGACTGCGCTCTTTTCGTTGCCTGATTCAGTGAGGTAAACCTGTCAGTGGTAATGCACGCAGTAGGTGAAGTGTCGAACAGCGAAAACATATTCCAGCGAATAAGCTCTTCAAAGGGAATTTTGGCACTGGTTTCAGTGCATTTCGCAAACTCCTACATGCGTGCGGATAACTTTTGCACCAGAACACCCGCCTTATTGTAAGATTAGGAGTAACACTTGAAAAGTCGGGTAATAAAATGGCGCAACAATACCAGAGAATATGTGCTGGAGATCGCTCCTGAAAATAACTGTATCTCTAGGTTCGAAGACCATCCCACTCCGCAGTTTGCCACATGTTAACCCCCAGAGGTCTCAGTAGGGCAGTTTTTTTTGAGCCTTGACCACGGCAAAGTAACCTGGATTGATTTGGCTGGAGTGTTGATAGGCTTCGAAGTTGTTTCGGAGGCTACTCTCCTGCGATAAGCGCACTGTTGCCGTCATGCTCGTCTTTCTGGCTGCTTTTGTCGCGCTAGCGTCTGCTAACTGTCCTCTTGGTACTGTCTATCATCAGGAATTCAATCGGTAATGCTTCACCTTTCACTTACAAAAGGAGATTGAGAGAGCTTTTGATAAACGTGCTGTAGTGGACCGATTCTCAGCTTTCGTGAAATGAAACTGGTCTCAGAAAAGCATTTTTTTGAAAACTTGAAACTTTGAAAACTAGCATTTTCTGCAGGTTCTCAAAGTACATAAAAAACAGGCATCTTTTCTTTCATGACACGATGCGGTAACACAATTACAATCAACTGCTTTGTTAGTGTCCGATATTCCGGCAGAAAACTGTTTTTTCTTCCGTTGCAGTTGCCCGGAATGAATCAGAAATCATTGAAAGAATGAAATGAAATGAATAGAAATGAATAGAGATCTCAATGGAAATCATTCATTTAGGTGCTATAAATTCGACAGCACAGCGCAGCCTTTCTATCTAGCCGAGGAGGCTTGCATTTCAATCGGTGGACATGTGGTGTCAATCTCCAATGGCTATGAAAATGCCATGCTCTCAGGTGCGATTACTTGAAACCCATTATTTGGTGGTTTGAAGTTTACCCTTTCATCGAGTGGTTGTAGGAGTTTCACAGTGCGTCAACGCAGCAGCATTGCAAAGCGTACGCGCGCGGCATTCGCAACGCGAGCCAGTAGAGGATTACGCGATGCAGCTTGTTGAGCTATACCTCCTTCTGCGAGATGGTTCACCCACTCAGCTACTGTCTGCGGATCTCCTAACCCACACCTACAACCACTCATTTGGGTTGCATATTTAGTATTACTACAAAAACTTTTTCTAACCACATTCCAAAATTATTATTTAGAAACTGCCCAAGCGCAGAAAATCGCAACCTTCTACACAGGATTCAACACATTGAGCTCGAACACGTGGAGCTGGTCTGACGGCTCTCCGGTCAACTACACCAATTGGGCGACAGGTAAGCGCATTTGTAGCAGCTGTTTGCCGGGGACATATGAAATTTTCTGGTTCAGGACAGCCAGCTGATGGAACTACTTGCGCCGTACAGAATAGTAAAGATGGTACTTGGACATCGGTGTCGTGCAACAGTGCCTACGCTTACGTTTGCGCTGTGACAGCCAGTTTCCCAGCGCCAACATGTCCTCCGTGTCCAACTCCAGCCGGTTGTCCAACATTCCCACGTGGGTCTGATTTCTATCAGTTGAGATGCAGTTCTGCCAGTGACATAGAGCAAGCAGCACAACGCGTATGAGTGTTTTACAAGTTTTATCTATTTTCATAAGGACTAATTTCTTTTACAGCCATCGTCGGCCACTGCGATTCCGGATGGGCTTATTTCGACAAGACTGACTCGTGCTACAGAGTGAGTTGATTTTGCATTAAAAGATGACTGTTTCACTCGACGGCTGATCCACAAACCAAGTGCTCCCCAAGGTAACCAAACCTCCCACCCCAGCGGGGAGAGTTAATTGGTAGCACTTTTGCCTGGGAGCGTAAAATGCCTAACTGTTCACTAGCAGATTCAGCAAGTCGTTGTCAGTCCACAGCACTCGAAAGCCTCTACGATCTTTCCAAGGGTTTAACGATAAACTGCGCAGTCACCTCTGATCATGGTTTTCGCCATGGGCGAGGAAAACGGGTTGGGGTTGGCAGCTGTACAAATGCCATACTTCCTTCCTTGAGAGCTCGGGAAAAAAAATGCCGAGTGGAAGTGATGCATGGGTGGAGTCTCTTGCAACCCTCAAGATGCATGCACTTGCATAGATATACACAATCCGCGGCGAATACGCAGTGAGAAGCAGAGAACAACTACACCTGAGAGGTCTCTGACGTTTGGCCATGGATGTACGCGTGGCTGGCCATGGGGCAGCACGTGCGGAGTCAGGACACGGCACCACGACGTCGCTTCACTCCATTCTGGTTCCTTGCACTCTTGAGCATAGGAGGTAGCACGCTATTGCTGCTGCGAGTTCTTTTGCTCCATGGCAAGAAAGAGGGTCCGCGAGGGTGAGTGCGCAGCTTCTCCGTAATGCGAAGGATAGCTCAACACCCAATGTTTCATCCTTGGGAAAAGTTGGGACTAGCATGTTTTCACCCGAAGAATTTAACCAAAAAATAAAATGTTCTAAAGAAGGAACTCGTATGGGCATTGCTAATTTTATTTATTCAGTACTTCCTTTTCGCTACCTTCGACAATGCTGAGACTGTTTGTATGTCAGAAGGAGGGCACCTTACATCAATTCACAGCCAAGAGGAGAACATATTTGTTGCCGGTGAGATCATACTAATAGTAATCCTACTGTTACAGTGAAGCAGAGGACAACTCGAAGGTGCGTGGATTCTCAGCGCTGATAGGTGTTGAGACGGGGTCCCACGTAGTTGACGGATCTTTAACAAAGTGGTCGTTGTACGCCGGTGAGACCACTGTCGCTGCGGGTGGAGGTCGTCTTCGATACCTGAAGGGGGCTGTATATATATGAAAGGGTGTGGGGAGGGGGCAAGGGTGAAACTCATATGAACAGAAGGAGTTTCTGTCACTCCTAGTAAGCGATTGCCAGAGGTATCGTCAAGTGAAGTTAGGGAAATATTCAAAGAAGTGGGGGCTCTCACAAAGGTCTCACTTGGGATAGCGGTGGAGTGGAGTATGTGAGTGAGCGAACAGCTTCTCATCGTTGCCATGACATGCCCGTTTTTCAGACATCTCCAAAGCCGGAGTGGAATACAAGAAAGAGGATGATCTGACATGGATCGGCCTGAAGCAGCAAAACTATCCCACGTCAGAGGATTGGACGTGGACCGATGGAACACCGCTTGACTTTAATGCTTGGGGTGCCTCTCAGCCTGCGGATAAAAAAGGACGTGAACATTGTGCTCAGGTGATTACATACTCTTATGGCTTCCGCTGTAGCCACAGCTGACATCCTCGCAATCAGTTCAGGGTCTGCCAAAGGGGCACGGAATAGCCCACCTGGG